AAAATGATAGCTCATAACCAGGAGTGGTCCGTTTTGCCTCCTAATCGGACGAACCACTTTTTTTCTTCTTCTCCCGAGGTTCTTCAGTGACCTAGGGGAAGACTGTACCTTACACACATTATCTCTAAACTCTGCCTAGGCATAAGAGCGGGAAGCGCTATTGTGTGGAGCACACTATTTCGCAACGCATTACAAAATTAGCCGTAGGCTCCGTGAGTACTTTTACCTTCTTGCATATCAATAATTTCCTTGAGAGCAGAGCAACTTCATTTTAGGGACTCCGTTTTGTCATCTGTGAATTTTTGTGCCACCTACGAGTTTTCATGCTCTGAACAACCGTAACCTTTTTCATATGTAATCTCTCATATGTGAACAACAACAAAAACAGTGCCGGGATCAAAGACTCCCTCTTCCTAAAAGCACGTTGCTTTTATCTATGCCTTTTGTTAAAGAAGTTCTCGTTTTTTTGCCTTAAGCAGTTTCTGGAGACAGGAAAAACCCCTCAAGAGCAGTACCATTTCCAGTTTTAAAATATTTTCAGAGTATGACCAGCGAATGCGATCTTCTACTTGGATTGCGTTTGTGCTCAATACTGCAGTCATCATCATCGACGTGCTGGTTATCTACTGTGCTTTCAAAACTGGTGAAACTCAGCGACATTTCGTTCTACAGACGATTTTTCTCGCAATGGTAATGGATATTGCTGCTTACCTTACTCTACTGGGCCACGATTTGCCAAGTTTCATCATGAGTACAGACGTATCGCCTCGTGGGTATTTTTCTAGTGAATCTTCATTTACTTGCTTACGATGCAATTTGAGAGCATAGGTTCTAGGACGTGTGTGGGTAGACAGCAGAACTTACTTGTACATGGACCAATTCTCACAAACCATATCATAAACCACATATATCTCAAAAAGGGATTCATCAAAACGGAAGACTTTGTCCTTCATCCTATATCTAGTTCAAAGCTGCAAAAGTGGCAGGTGACCTGCTCACGAAGCGCGCTATCAGGGGTTAGCCGGCTCCCGCCAAGCCTTCAGAAAGCCTTAACTTGGTATCTGTTCGTTAGGGAGAAGCAAAACAATGATTCGTCTTGACTGGATCTGAGCCAAGAAGTGAAGGAGTCACACTCATTAGACCACTAAAAAAGCTCCTAATAAACAGACCGCATGCCGCATCCCAAAAAGGATTGATCAATGGCGGAGGTTTCATCCTTTTATGCTTCAAAGATGATGTTACAGAACGTGTTGTGAATCTCCACAACACAAATTATTTCAGACCCGTTCGTGACGTACCTCATGGTGGTGATCATGTTTGTCGAGTGGTTCACTCAACTTTTTGTACTGCTTATCCTTTCGGTCATTCATGCTCTTGCTGTCTTCACTCCATTTCAATTCCGTACCTTCTCTTCTGGGAAGATGAGAATTGTCAACGCAGTCATGATGGTCGTTGCTCTTTCATTAACAGGTTAGAAGTCCATTTTAAATTGCCCTATTTTCTGAAAGGCATATAAATGGCTCAAAATCCGACTAACCAAAAATGTGGATAAATGCTATTGAAGCTCTTGTATCAAAATCCCTTATTGGTAAGCTTTTGCGATAACGCCGTCATTAGACCTTTGAAATAAAATACTTAAGTGACCTACAGCTGCTACAAATACATTAACATCAGCATCCCTCGTGCTGATTGCCTGACTTGTTGCAATGGGTTTCCCTCGCCTCCATGCTTCTCCTCTCTGGGCGAACCGAAGGCGTTGTGAGGGGCCTCTTCCAACATCGTGTTCCATTTCCGGTTTAGAGACGAATGTCGCACGAACTTTTGTTAGAACAAAAGAGAAGCTTGGAACGCGAAGGGACCCGATTGTATACTATAAGCTTCAAAGCAACGGTTATTCGAAGGGAATTTCAAAACATGGGTTCCACATAGGTCGCCAGATGGAGTGACCTCTCACAATGCCTTTTGTGAACGATAAAATTGCACGAGAAGTGAATCGCATTGTGAAGAGTTCTCAGCTTCCTATCCGACTCGTTTTCCGATCCCCTCCTTACTTAAAGACCTCCGTACCTAGTCCCGGGTCTGCGAACGTCGGTCTCACATGCATTCTTGAGATTATCCAAGGAGATCTTGAACTTCAAAGAACTGTGTATTTAATCCGATGTAGAGGTTGTGGAGAAGAGTACGTGGGAGAGACTGCAAGAATGCTGAAGTTTCGTCTGGACGAACACAGAAAGGCGTTGTCCAATCCGGCAGCCTATCTCTCCGAGCATCGTACCCTCAAATATGAATGTGAATGTTCTACACAAACATCTAGCACGATTGCTAGAGAGAAAATCCATGGAGGCGAGGGAAATCAATCGCATCAAGCCCAGCGATCAACGCGAGGAGCTACGTGACCTCCTAAGGCTAATCGCGTGATAACTGCGGCAAAAGAAGGCACATGTTTGGGGCTGGCTGCTGGAGAGTCTTCTCTTCATTTGCGCCGCCGCACCAGCAGGCCCACTCCTTCACCCGTGTCCCTCTCCCCGCCCGTGGTAGGTATTGATGCTGATGTTAATGTATTTGTTGTAGCTGTAGGTCACTAAAGTATTGTATTTTGAAGGTCTGATGACGGCGTTATCGCCGAAAGCTTACCAATAAAGGATTTGATACAAGAGCTTCAAAAGCATCTATCAACGGTTTCGATGAAGCTCAGAGATAGCAACATTCTACAACCAAAAAATGGTTACAGCTAATTGATATTTTCCTCAGTGCCGCTTTTTACACCCTACTGCGGTTACTACTACTATACTGAAGGTCATTTCTGGGCTTGGGACTCAGAAAAACCATATCATTACATATACTCAATATGTAATCTGGTTTTACAGGTTTGTGGAAGTTTTTGATTATTGATGGCAAAGCGTAGTATTGCAGATCATAAGGGCTCAGTAAGGTCCACCATTGCGTTTTTCCACCACTGCATCCTTTCTAATTGTACAAAAGTGAGAAAGAGAGCGTCATTGAGAGCTCGAATGGCAAGTCTTACTTCGCTTCTAGACTTACGTAGAATATGTTTTGGAGGGTAGTTTCAGAGAAAAGAATTTCTCCATTACACCTAACAAACCCAAAAGTAGGGCCGCTCCCTTTTCATTGTTCATTTCGACGTCAAAGCCATTGTGATTGAGAACTCCGAAAAAGTCAAAACACCTGCCTTGCTGAACAGATCTCCTGCTAGCACACTTCTGTATGCTATTTTCTTTAATTATACCTTTTCCGAGTTCTCCAAGATGTATGGATTAGTCTTAACAACAGCATTTCTCCGTCTGATGACACACGGTTGGTGCTTGGACGATAATTAGTTCTGGTAGCATTAGGCGCGCCACTTCCTCTTACCTTAGATATTTTCAGCCATGCCTCATTATTTTGGTAGGGTCGTCCTAGGCAACGTCCTCCCCCTTTTCTTCAGTGCTCTCCGTACTTCCCTAACCCTGCGTTCTTCAGACCTTCTATTCACCTTCATTTGGGGAGGGGTACATCTCCCCGTAACACCGCCCTGACGTCTTCGCTTTGGCCCAATCCATCGAGTCCAAGCTTTAGCCCATCTCGACATCCTCACTTCAGCAATTCGAAGTTGCCTTTCGTGCTTCTAGCTCGATTAAGAGTGATTTCCAATTCATGATGATCTTAGTTCGAAGGATTCATTTATAGGGAGTGTGCGCTATTGTCGTAGTTTGTGTTGATGTTTTGATTATATGGAGACTTCGCAAAATTCGTATCCAGTTTACACAGCCGGTTTCGGAGGTCTCCACAATAACGACAGTGTCGCAACCGGTGAGTGTTCGTATTTGTACTTTTTCTTGATGTTCATCACTCACTCACTTACTACGCATATGGAGGATCAGCACACATTCATCAAAAGGGAGAAGACAGTTACCAACTGTGCTCTACTCACTTTGTGTCTCACGTTTCTAGAATATTTGAAATGAGGGGCTCATCAACAAAGCCGACATGCCAAAAGCCTCCCCTCCATACAATCAACAGCAACTGTGCCCTTGCGATATAAGATGTCTTGGTTCAGGTTCCTTCCCAAGAAGCACGTCTCAGCTTTGAAATGCAACTTGCTGTCAATTTCATACTACTAAGTGCCTGTTTTTTGATTATGACAACATTTTTCAACCTGAATATGTAAGTTCATCGAAGATATTGCTAATTCTCATCATGAAATATAGGAGAAGGTAGCTGAAAGGAGAAATCAAATATGAAAACAAGAAAGGCGTCACGTTCTAACAAAGCAACTTAGGGGTTCCTCAGTAATGGCTGCCCAATGATGCCTGACTTCAGATGAGTTCAAACGATGCTATTTTTAGGTCATAAAAACAGCGGAGTGATTTTTTTCAAGCAATGAACGGACCTGTCGAAAAGGCTTAAGCTCGACTGCTTTCCAGCTTTGAGCGAACCTTTAAAAAAGTCATTGTGTCGTTATGTAGGCGAAAGCCGCTGAAGAAGACGATCAGACTTATGCTCTTAACCTCTAACGCGCTCACCACGTGTTTTCCCCATTCGCAGTGGTGCATGCACTGTATGAGGCTGCAAAACTGTCCATTATAATCACGCGGGAGTGATTCTACCTATCTAAGTAATCGCGGAATATGTCTTTGAGTCTTTCATGAGCTTACGTTTTCTGTCTCCTTAATCATTTTGCTTTCAGAGACGCGTTCGTATACGGCTTTATAACGAAACTCACTTACAACCTCAACCTTGCAAAATGGTCCATCTATATCTTAGGCAATGAGTCTATACGAAGGAAATTTATATCATTACTCAGATGTGGTCAAAGCAATGTCCCAGTCAGCACTCCTCTAACACTATCATATGCTACCCCTGTGAAAGTATTCCATGGAAGGCAATAGTAAATAAGCTCAAAGAAGCAATCAGAAAACGAGGAAACATGAAATCGGGTGGAAGAAACGTTTCTCCAATGGCGCACTTACATCGCACAGGGTGACAAGGCTCGTAGAAGACGAAAAGTGAAATATTCCTGTCTCCGATATTTTCGTCGATGCTGTCGTTTTCAACAACCTGGAAGCTTTTCGAGGAGCTCGGCTCGTCACCAGTCTGGCCAGGCACTGTATTTCAAGCTGTGGGAGTAAGTGGGATTGAAAAATGAACATCTTGCTCCTGCACTAAAAAACCATGCCTGTGGTAAAAGTTTTCGGGTTGTTAGTCTGTACGGTAAGCAATACTCCTTCTACAGTTTTCAAAAGGAGAATTCATCCATCGCTGTCGAGCTCAAGAAAGTACACATTATTCGCGTCAACCTGAAGAAGCTGCGTAATTTCTGAAGTTGCTTTGCATGCGGGCAGGTTCACGAAGTTGTTGTTTCATGGTGGCAAGTACAGCTTGTTCAGCTACCAGGAAACCCTCGCTATAGTTCATAATTTGTCTTCAAAGACTTAACCTCCTATCGACAGGCCCCCTGGGACGCTGGTGTGACGGATTCTCAAGATACCATCATTCAGGAGTTAATTTGTCGAGTGTCCGTGTGACCAACCAATTAGACGTTTCTGATGCGCTCGAGCGCTAGAAACGAATGTCTAACTAGAATCTCTTGTCTGCCATCTCCTCCCTGTCCCCCCCCCCACTCCCCGTGAACAGCCTTTTCGACAATAGTGGTTTTACTGAGCGATTTCTTTTTGTAAGTCGTATGTGTAGTACGTGAATAACGCACACCATTTTTAATTGCTGTTAGTTTTTGGTTCGTTTTTTGCTATTCTAGAAGGCCTGTGGAATTCATTCTAATAAATCTTTATTGAAACATTCATTGGGCAGGTGCTGAGCGACGGCAACGCGTGTAAGTGACGCTTATTGTGCTTTTATCTGCCTTCTAGTTCTGACACCTTTGACAATCGTAGTCAAGGTTTTCTCGATTCGTAGTCCTCTGGTGTACGGAAACGGCTGAAGTACTCTCCGGCTCACTAGCACTTTAGTACTACTTCGGCTAGCGACTTCATTCAACAAAATTCAGTCTATTTGATTTCTAAGGTGGATATGGCTTAAAAATTTGCTTGTAGTGAAGAAATTAGACAGAAATCTATTCCAAGTTTTAGGGAGTAGTGCCATAAAGGATGAATGTTTTCTAGAAATGCCCCTTCCTGAGTTTTATTCGCACCTGGTAACACCGTCTTGGCTCTTTCTGAAGCACCTCTTGCTATAGTATTCCGTATTCAGAGTGAGAGATAGAAAGTTCGCCACCGGACCAGCACTTTGGGACAAATGTATAGGAACTTAACTCCATAGTTTTGATACGGTAAAGATAGTTCGGCCAGAAGGAAGGGACAGTTTGAATTCATTCCCTTTTAAGGCGTAGACTTCCTATTGTGCACTCTCTCGCCTTCATGGTATTCCGTGGCCGTTGCGATGTTCAGTCCGTCATTTTACTCGTGAAAGATGGGTCCCCGTCCTCTAAATTTGGAAAAGCTCATTCCCCGTCTTGCCACGTGTTTCTTTGCACATTTCGATGGCTTGAGAGCCTACGGTCCTCTATCTGTCTGCTCACAACGTTTCTCAATATGAACATGCGCAAAAGTTCAAGATATCACGTAATCGTCTTGCCACTCTCTTCCACGTTCTTCCGTAGGTACGATCTTGGCATGAGGCAAAACACTTCGTTGTTGGGGATTCCCCAACAAGGAGTCGTATTTGGTCGCTGGGAGGGGGGAGAGGTCGTATTTGGGCTGCGAAAAATTTATTTTGATTGTTATTTTTCTTGTCCACGGACGTAAAGGGGTGGGGAGGGAGTCGTAGTTGTTCGTTGTTAGAAGGGGGGGTCTACTTCTGAAGAAGGCTGCCTGACTTTTTGGTTTTTCCTGTTTCATGTGTACCCAACCCCTCCCCCCAACGCTCCCCCCGACCCCCTCGACAGGCAAATTTTCGGGAAAAAGTAGGAGAATTTTGGAAAATCCAGAAAAAGTGGTAGGAAGTTGGAGAGAATCTAAGAAATGGTAGAAGGGAGGGAGGGCCGTATTATCCTCGCGGCTTTTCCCGTTTTTTAGACATGCTATTTACATCCCCCCCCCCGCTCGACGCCTCGGTGAGAAGGAGGATCAGGGGGTCGTACCAACCCTCTAAAAAAGGGTTCGTACGGCCTCGACTAAAATCCTCAACTAATGATTGCCCTGGCGTGAAGACAGGCGAAATAATACCATCGGGGCGCTGCGTCACGCTGCCGTCGGCTCCTACTATACCGTTGTTTGGTTGCGAAATGCGCGTCTCTTTTCCACAACATCAGAACGCTGGAGTGTGAAAAAATCGTAGTGGGGGGGGGGTAGAAAGGGTGTGATCAGCAGCGAAATACCGAATGTTATTGTGAGAGTACTGTGTCAGACATTTCTTTCCGAACTGCTCACATAATTTTTATAACAGCGTATGAGAAGCTACTACCGTTTCGTGTTGAAGGGATAGTGCGCTCCAGTCCAAAAAGCCCGCTCCAATGTCGCGGAAAACTCGTCCCGAATTTTTCCTGTTGTAGATTTAGCGGCGAGTCTCTGGACGGTGTAGGTCTCTCCTTGAAACAACGTCAGGGCAAAGAGAGGTTGGAATGC